CCAATGCATTTCTCCATGGCTCCCTTGAAGAGGAAGTTTTCATGACTCAACCTCCAGGATTTGTGGATCCTTCTTATCCTACTCATGTGTGCAAACTTCAGAAAGCTCTTTATGGCCTTAAACAGGCTCCTCGAGCCTGGTATTCCACTTTCTCAGCTTTTCTTCTCTCGCAGGGGTTTCATCACAGTTTGTCAGATACTTCCTTGTTTGTCAAACAGACTCCCACCAGTCTTACTCTGTTGGTTGTGTCCTCTATCTCTCATTCCGATGCTCTTCCTTTTGCTCAACCTGTTAATCAAGCATGCCAACATATGCATGCTCCTACTAATGCCCATTTTCAACATGTTAAACGTCTCCTCCGTTATGTTAAAGGCACTGTTTCTCATGGATTGAGTTTCACTCCTGGTCCTTTGACTCTTCATGCATTTTCTGACTCCAATTGGGCCGGTGATACTTTGGATAGACGTTCTACATCAGGGTACTGTATCTTTTTAGGCCCAAATTTGATCTCTTGGTCTGCTAAAAAGCAGCCTACGGTTTCTCGTTCCTCCACTGAGGCTGAATACCGATCCTTAGCTAATACTGCTGCTGAAGTTAGTTGGCTTCAGCAGTTGCTTAAGGATTTTTTGGTTCCTCCTTCTTCTATCCCCGTTTTATGGTGTGACAACGTATCTACTATGGCTCTTGCTTCAAGGCATAGTTTTGTCGTTTTACTTTTGATGTATTACATGTAATTTCAAGCCAAGGGCTTAATGTGTAAACGAGTTTGAACTCTTTGTTGTAACCAAGTGTTAACTTGGAAAGCTGTAAGCCCGTAGGGCATTTTGTTATGAGGTTAACATGTAATACTTATGTCTTGGAATTCTAATGAATGAAAGGAATGCGGTTAGTTTAAATGTAAATGCATGTCTTATCTGATGGGTTTATTGTTATTATTTTGAGGGCGTTACATTAACACTTCAAGATTATTGTCATTAAATTGTGTTATCCACCCAAATAAGGATTGCAGAGCCTCACAATTACGTATCTTGAGTGTTTTCAGTGTGCACGGAAAACCTGTCTTGGGAAAAGAGCCGAGACTTGGACAGTTATAGACATACAACTCTTGAAGAAAAGTGAAGGTATGTAGCAGCTGTGGTAGTTTCTCCAACTTTTCACAATTATATATTCTTAGATGCTCAAGCCTCGCTATGCAAGGGAGTCCCTCTTCTTGTTGTTGCTGATGTTGCCCTTCATTTTCTTCATCCTTATCTTCTTCAAACAATGAAACAAGTTGGGGACAACCTCTAATTTGCAAACTTCGGAATGCAAGGAGACTGTGCTGCACTCTCACCTCATTCTTCCACAGTGTCTTAAGTTCTTCACAACTTGTAATCTTCAATGCTTTGAGTTCCATTAGCCCATGAGTAACCCATTTTGGCAAGAGCTTGAGTTTCTTGATCATCCCAATGCTCAAGGAAGTTATTAAACTCGGATGCTTACACTTTGCATTTGCCGATATCACTTCATCATCAGCCATACTCCCCATCTCAAGGACCGTTTCAAGGCTTGTTAGAGGGCCGCCATTCATAGCTATACAGGTGAGTGATGGGAGGCTAATACTGGAACCTTAAACTAGGAATTGCGGGCACTCTGAAATCTTTAGATTATTCAAACAAGGTAGATCAGTAGGCAACATTTTAAGAAGTTTAGGACATTTTATTAGGGAGAGATACTTGACACGTGTGAATGATTGAACTTCCTTGTGATCTTCAAAAGTATACCAATCCTCCCATTCTGGCATATTTTCAAAGCTTAGAGTCTCTAGTAATGGAAAAGGTTGAACACCACCTTGCCCGTAGAACTCACAACCGACATGCTTTAGTACACTCATTCCTTTAATGTAAAGCTTTTTGAGGGAGGGTAGTTGTCCGAGTGGTGGCAAGGATGCACAATTTCCACAATTTTCTAAACTTAGGTTAGCCATATTGGAGAACAGAGAATCTCCTATCCAAGTTGGAAATCCTGTATCAAGGTAGCCTTTGATATGGAGCTCTTCTAAATTCTTGTGAGGTTGTAGCTTGTCAAGCACTTCTGTTTCAACTCTTCCATCTCGTGAATCATCTGAGTTAACACTCCATTCCATTGATAACACATATAACCCCTTCTTATCATTTAAATTCGCCTCCCTTGCATCTAGAGGATTCACTACATTCTGTAGTCTAGATAGGCAAAGCTTCCCCTGTAGATAAATTAAGTTCCCCAACTCTTTTATCCGAAGCCCATTGTTTTTAGTAACAATAAAATTGGACAGTGTATGAAGACTAACCAACTTACCTATTCCTATTGGCAATTCTTCTATGGAATCTGCACCTGTAGTATCAAGATGACGTAGGTCAATTAGGTTTCCCATATCTAGAGGCAACTTTTTCAGTTTTTTACATTCTTTTAACATCAATGTTTGTAGATTGTAGAGAGAGCCTAGTGATTCGGGTAATTCTTTTATATGGCTGTAGGAAAGGTTAAGATACCGCAAATGTTTCAAATCTCCAACCGAATTTGGAAGTTCTGTGATGAAATATCTACTCATACTGAGCACCCTCAAGCGTTTTAGCTTCGGGAATAGATTAAGGGGAACATTGCTTGCCAAATTATAACCCAATCTATATTTTATGCCAAATGGTAAGAAAGTCCGTAAATGCATGGCTTTATCAATGATCTCAAATTTTTTCATACCCTCATAGTATTGCTGCATGTAAGATGAATGTCGAGCTTTCTTTAGATTCTTGTACTGGTCTTGATCTTTCAATCTATCCTCTATTCTAAAACAAGTATCTCTTGCAACTACTTGAGCCAAATCATTGATGAGGTCATGCATCACAAATTTAGAGCTTTTACTGGTACTAGATGGTTGGAAAAAAGACCTTGACAACAATTCATGGAAGTACTCAGCTCCTACATCTTCCATTTGCTTCTCTTTTTGTTGTATAATGAAGCCCTCTACCATCAACAATAGGACTAGCTCCTCTTCCTCAAATTCATAGTCGTTGGGTATTATTGAGCAGTATGCAAAGAACTGCTTTAAATGCGAAGGAAGATCATGGTAGCTTAATCTCAAAGCAGGAAGGATGTCACTTTTGTTGTGTGGTAAATCCCATATTTTACTACGCAATACATTTACCCATTCCTCATCTCGTACTTTGTTGCGTAAAAGGCCACCGAGTGTCCTAGCAGCGAGAGGCAAACCTTTACATTTCTCCACAATTTTCTTACCAATTGATACCAAATTTGGATTTGCATAAACACTTGTATTCGCAAAGGCATGTTGTGCAAACAATGACCAACAACCCTCATCTGATAGGATCTTAACGTTATGGAGTTCAACAGTTGCCATCATTGTTGCAATGTCTCTGTTACGTGTTGTCACCACGACTTTACTCCCTTGGGCTCCATCATTGAAAGGTTTCTTCAAAACATTCCAAGCATTGTAGTCTTCGTTCCAGACATCGTCTAAAATAATTAAAAACTTCCTTCCCGCCAAAGCCTTCTGTAGTTCAACTTGAGTTTGATCCAAGTTATTAAAACTACATGTTTGGGAAGTCACTGAATCATAAATAGTTTTTGTTATTTTCATAATGTCAAACTCATTTGACACACAGACCCATGCTTTCAGATTGAAATACTCCTTCACAGTTTCATCCTTGTATACCATCTGAGCGAGGGTGGTCTTGCCAATCCCACCCATACCCACAATGGGAATTACTCCAATGTTGTTATCACTTGATTCATCTCCCTTTACGAGCAACTTAATTATCTTACTCTGATCGTGTTTTCGGCTGTAAACGCGAGGTTCATCAAATAAAGATGTAGACTGTGGTCTTTGCCAAGTCTTAGTAGGTGTGGTGGTTCCAACAATCTTAACCAAATTAAATTTCGAACATTGTTCAAAACTATTGTGCGATCTGGTATTGATCTCCTCAATCTTGGACTTCATTTTAAAATTAAAGATAACATCTGTTGGCTTGAAATTAAGGATAAGGTTCCATACCTTGCTGGAACTAGCTTGGCGTGGCTTTGCCTTGAGCTTGTGTTTGTAAAGCTTTGGTGGTGAACTCATCCACTAAATCATCCAAATCATATGCCAGATCCTGGAGATCGTCAAGCCATAGGTTCACGGCTGGAACTGTCATTTGCTTCTCCTCTGCGTCAATTAGAACAACTTCAATTTGGCGCAGCATCTTGGTACAATTGGTCAGCTGGGTATCAATACCTTCAAAGGCAGGTAATTTCGAGGATGCAAAAGAGGTCATCTTCTCAAACAGCAATTTGATGAAGCCAGAGAGAAAGATCTGTGCTAGAGGCATTGTTTCCGATTACAGAAGGAAAAGAAAAAACCAACAGATCAGAAGCAAAACAAATCAAAGCAAAGAGGTTGTTGACTTTTTTGTAGTGAAAAAAGCTTTAGCAGTCTAAAAAATGGCTATATTTTTGTGAGAAGAAGAAGAAATTGAGTGCTCAGAATTAAGTCAAAAATATAGTCTCCTTTCATTAGCCGTCTGTCACTCTGCGAAAACAACATACAAAAAATAAAAATAAAAATAAAAGAACCCAAATATAATATTGTTAGTAGAAGAACCCAATTACGTTTGTTAATATGTTTTTCAATGAATTCATATCTCTATCATTGTTTTTCTCAGTTGGTAGAGGGTGGCTTAGAAGTTTTCCCATCTTTAACCAACCATATAGTTTTGGGATTTGGTTTATACATTTTCAATTTTGTTGGAATGTGATTTTTTTTGTTACTTATTGTTGAATTTGAAACGGAAAAATACTATGAGTAAAATAAAAGATGGACTGAAGTGAAATTCGAAACCAATTATATGATCACCTGTGTAATTAATATATTTATTATGTCGTTGATCCCTATAATTTGTTTTGAATTTTGTTTTGATCCTTCTAATTTTGCACTTAATTTTTTATGTTTCAATTGTTAACAACATTTGACGGAAAGATCATCTCATAACAAAATTTAAAATGTAAGGACTAAAATGTTCAAATTAAAATTACGATGACTAAAATGACATTTCACTTAAATTACAGAGACCAATGATTTAATTTATAGTTTAATTAAATTTTTTTTCTCTCTTTTGAAAGAGATAGTTGAACAAGTGTTCTGACATGAATAATGTGTAGTAGTCTAAAAACACTAAATAATGAGAAATTTAAAATACAAAATGAATGGTTTAGATTATCAGAATGAAACTCATAGCGAACTCCATGAGTCCGAACAACACTTTTCAATACAAATTGAGGACTAATTTTTTTTATTTTTTATTATATTTTTGAATATTTGCTTAACAATCATAAAAAAAAAATTCTTTTGTACCATAGTGTAGACACCCCATTTTTGACCGACCTTAAGACTTAGACGTCACCGATTGAGCGCTTGGTGATGTTGCATAATGTGCTCGTTCAGAAGTTTCAGAGTCGCGACTGCGAGCCCTACCTCCGGGCTTCCGAACCCTTTTCTGTGCCTTGTCTCGGTTTGTGAACCAGACTCGGTTTTCTCTGTTTCTTTTCTTAAAGGGAGGGAGAGGTCCTGTAGACCATCTCTCAATGTCCGTAGATTACATTTTGTGGCCGTAGGCCATTTTGCCCATTTCGGAGCCCGGTTCCCGATTTTCGGAGCCATCAGGCTGTGTGCCTCGGTTCGGGACCGCTTAACCATCTCCTATTGCTTTGATTTTTGGCATAAATCTTATTTCATCCATTTTGAAGGACACTGGGGGCTGAGAAACCCACTTCGAGGTCGAATACCATTTTCGGTGCTTGACAGCCCATTTTCGGGACCCCAAACTGCGTGTTTTGGCCCCGGAACATTCATTTTGCAACGGTTTTCGCTCGTTTTTGGCAGGTACCTCTGTTTTATCACAGGGAAGGTCACTGAAGGGTGGGAGGCCAGCAATTGTTGCAGCAACCAGTTATCTCTCCTCCGGAGCCTCCCGGCGCCCGTTTTTCCAACTTCCGGGCTAATGTTGAACACCCTAGGGGTAGTGTTGCCAACTTTCAACCACATATCTGTGATCTACACATCTGGGAGGCCCCTAAAAGTTCATGGCCGGCCAGTAAGTCAACTTGACCCTTTTGACCCCCTCTTTCCGAGCCATTGTTGAACCCCTTGGGCCCACTTTCTTGGAATTTCAATTACATGGTTGTGTTGTACACACATAGGGCTACCTCCCCAATAGCTGGCCGGCCAGAAAATGTGCTTGACCCTTTTGACCCCTAGCCGGCCGGCTAGGGGGTGTGGCCGGCCGGCCACCTCCAACAAAAGTAAGAGGCCGGTCAGCTTCCTTGCACTGTACCCTTTCCAGCTGTGGGGCAATATCCCCCAGATATTTTCTGTATCCGGGGGATATTTTGGGAGAGAGTTTTGCTCTCCTTTTCACCCCCCTTTTACACCCCTTTCTTGCCCATATAACCAGCTGAGGGTCTTCTTCTTTAGGGTTAGAAAATTTCATCTCTAAGGACAAACCCTAAACTCCATTGTCATCCTTCTCAATTCTCCAAAAAACCCTAACTTCTTAACCTTCATTCCTTCTACACCACCAAGCCCTACCACCACCATCTCATTTCCAGCAACAAGGAAGGGTTCTTGAAGGCCAAAGAAGGTGCAAATCCATCCAAGAAGCAACAAAAGCTTGAATCTTCAAGGGTAAGTTACACTTTGATCCTTTTGACCCCTTTTCTTGATCTATTTCTAAGCCTCACTTATTTTGGATTTCAAGCTTCGGCCCTAACTGAAAAGGGCCATATTTTAAGCTCATCTTCACTTCTCATTAAGGGCTCAACCCTGTTTGAGCCCTCCATAATACACTTGCTTCATTGACCCCCTTGTATGTCATAGTTTTGCATGCTATTTTTGACCCATGAGAAATTTACTTTCGAGCATGTTATAAACTGATGTGAGGCCTATTTTGGGCCCCTCTTCAACATTGGAGAAGGTCTCAACATTGTTTGGTGTCTCCATGTGGCACTTGTAGTTCAACCCCTTATTTGACCCTTCTTTTTGCACAAATTGATAGCCCTCTTTGCTTCTGTTTTTGGACCTTGGTCCGAACTGAAAGTGGCCTTATTTTGGCCTATACTTCATGTTTCATTCACATTTTTTTTCTGTTTGGTGATTATTCTCTTCATGTTTAGCAACTTTTGAGCCTCATGTTTGCATCATAGTTTTAGCATGTTTGTTTTTGAGGCTGCCATATACTGTAAATGTTCATATTTTTGGTCCATCTTCAGTGTTGTAGAAGGAAATTTTTCAGTTTGGGTTTAGCTTATACCACTTGCTTTATTACCCCTCTTTCGGCCCCTATTCTTGCATGCTATCTTTCCCCTACCTATGCTTGCTGTTTGGCCATGTTTATAACTGTGAAAGTGCATATTTTGGGACTTTCTAGCTTCTGTCTTTGCACTGCATGTCCATATTGTGCATGTTTAGCATAGCTATAGGCCATTTCGGGTGCCTAATGTTGCATTTCGGGACATTTTCCTGCATTTCATGTCATTTCGCCTAATTTCGGGGTTGTTTTCCCCATGTTTTAATGCTGAAATTCCATTGGCGTGCTTGCATATCATTTTTGCCATGTTTCATCACATTCTGCCATCGCCTCGGTTTGCGTGCCGGTGTGCACGCATTTCGAGGCACTTCATTTTTATCCGCTGGCATCTGATATGAGTGTGGCTGAGGCTCACTCATGTTGGTATAAGCCCACTTGTCATTTCCATGCCATTTCATTGCATTTTATCACTGCCTCGGTTTGCGTGCCCGTGTGCACGCACTTCGAGGCATCTCATTTTCAACATCCCGTCACTTTCTCGGTTTGCGTGCCTGTGTACACGCA